GGTGGGTGGTGGGTGGGGTTAGGAGGGGTGGGCGGTTGGGGAGATGGACATGAAGGTTGAAAAGAGTTTTGAAAAATATTTTTTCTTCTTTTGATACCAATTGGAGTAAAATAAATTCTTGAAAAAAATATTATTCAAAGCATTTAAGCCAATCAAACATGGAAAAATTGAAAAAATATACCCAACACACCCTAAGTGATATTCTGAAGGAAAAGTATCATTATTATGTAATCAAAATTTAGTGATTAAAGTGTAAAAGACATTTCGTGCAATATAAACACCGAGTAAGTATTTTCCGGAAATCACTTTTAATGCATGGAATTATAGCACTATTCTCCACAAGCCACGTGTGTATCAACGACCCCAGGTCCCAACAGAACCAACATGCCTACAACACAACTGTGAGCCTGTTTGGATGGGCTCAAACCAGCTTTTAAGTATTTCTTAGTAAAAATTGGGTGGGGTAGCCACTTTTTAAAGTGGTATTTACTTTTTATCCAGGATTTTTAATGCTTAGCAATAGTAATCACTAATTAATTAAAATTAATATGAAAAGATTGTGTTACCCTTTCTTCTATCTCTTTCATGTTAGGAAGCTCAGCGAACTAAGCTCAGCGAAATGACTTAAAGGATGACGAGAAGAGGAAAAAATTGAGTTTTGATTGAAAGTGAAGAGGTAAAAATTGAAACAGATGGCAAAAGGGTATTGGAAAATTATACAAGATATGCAAAAAGATTCAGATTAGGAGGATAAAAATTGAGTCTTGATATAAAGTGAACACAGAAAAAATGGAGTAGTGGGGTTTTTCATGTTTATTTTATTTGTCTGTTTTGGGGGGTCAAAAGGATCTATGAATCTAATTAGTGATTTAAAAATTGGATTTTATGGTGGTTGATGTATTTGACCAGAACGTGATGATAAAGGATCTATGGTGGTTGATGTATTTAGGTTTGTGATTTTTGTGATGTATTTTTGGTTTTATGTTACGTTATGGATCCTGAACTTACAGTTACAAGTTCAAAAGTTAAGGATATTCGGTCTTGAATTTCGAGTTCCAAGTTCAAAAGTTAAGGACACTTGGTCCTTAACTTAGAGTTAAGTTCAATAGTTAAGGACACAAGTTCAAAAGTTAAGGACATGCAGTCTTTAACTTACAGTTACAAGTTCTAAAGTTAAGGACATACAGTCCTTAACTTACAGTTACAAGTTCAAAAGTTAAGGACAATAGGTCCTTAACTTTGATTTTCAAGTTCAAAAGTTAAGGACAGACAGTCCTTAACTTATAGTTACACGTTCAAAAATTAAGGACAAGCAGTCTTTAACTTACAGTTACAAGTTCAAAAGTTAAGGACAATAGGTCCTTAACTTTGACTTACAAGTTCAAAAGTTAAGGACACTTGGGGTGTGTTTGGTATAACAGAAAATGTTTTCCGTAGAAAATGTTTTCCAAGAAAATATTTTCTTAGAAAACAAGTAGTAATCGTATTCATTTTCCGGTGTTTGGTACACAAATTAAGGAAAATGACTTCTCAAGAGTATTCATAAATAATTTAGATATAATAAAAAGGAAGCCATAAACTTTCAAACCAACAACCTTCCGGACCCACAAATTTCATAAACTTTTGCACCGCTAAATTTTCAAAACCGCGAAATTTCGAACCCGTAAACTTTATAATTTTTAAACCCGTAAACTTCCAAACACATAAACCTCCGAACTCATAATTTTGGAACTTGTAAAATTTTGAGCCTTTAAACCGATAAATAATAAAATTAAAACTGAAAAATATATTTTAATTTTTTTTTTGTGCGGGGATAGAGGGGTAGTTGGGTGAGTGGTAACGGAAAAACTGAAATTTGAAAAAAAGAAAAACCCTTTTTTTGAAAAGAGGGTGGGGTGGGTTGGTGAGGGTGGGGAAGGTTGAGAAGGAGCTTTGGAAAATGTTTTCCCTTCTCTTGATAAGGAAAAATTTTTCCTCTAATTGTAAGAAAATGAATTGATAAGGAAAATGTTTTCCAAAACATTTAAGCCAACCAAACATGGGAAAATTGGAAAACATTTTCCGAAAAATATTTTCCTTCATACCAAACACACCCTTGGTCTTGAAGTTTGAGTTCCAAGTTCAAAAGTTAAGGACATGTAGCCTTGAAGTCCTGAACTTAGAGTTCCAAGTTCAAAAGTTAAGGACATGTAGTCTTGAACTTAGAGTTACAAGTTCAAAAGTTAAGGACATGCAGTCCTGAACTTAGGGTTCCAAGTTCAAAAGTTAAGGACATGAACAAAGAGTATTTTCGTCCGGGCAGTTAAAGTTTATTAAAGCAGTGGCTAAAGACTAAAGACATTTTAAACGGTGGCTTAAAAGTAAATACATATATTATTAGTGACCAACCGTGCACTTCCCCCTATTCTTTAACCTGCAGAAGTGTTTAGCAACCAAAAGAAGACTTAAAAAAAGTTAAAATCTACTTTAAAAAATTAAAACTAATAAGTTGGAAGCTTAAAAGCCATATTGCTTTGACCAAATATATTACCTTCTTATCCCTTATATTTTTTTTAATCCTGAAATTACCCCTAAGTAGGAAACCCTACAACATACTATCTTTTTCTTTTCTCCATTATTGTTGCAGCACCATCTGCTTCGGTTTAATCTCCAGCTTTCATTTTCATGGGCAATTAGTAAAACACGTTGCATAAAAGCTGGAGAAACTTGAGAAATAATTTAAGGATACCCCGCAAAACTTGGTTTCAAGTTTCTGATTCCCAAATAAATAGGATTTGAAAAGTCCAATTACTCCTACAGTACTTCAGCTAATCTCCGTTCTCCATTTCAATAATATTCTTTGAATGTTAATAACTTTATGGATATATCAGTCATTTCAATAAGAAAAAGTGCTTATAAGCACTTCTTTACCAAACATTTCATCAGCTTTTTTTCAATTTCAGCACTTTTATCCAAACATGTAACTACTTATTTATAAAACAAGTTCCAGCATTTAACTTAAACGCCATTTTTTTAAGCCAATCCAAACGGGCTCTGTGCCCACTGGGAAAAGCAGCTATAACAAAAGATTTCTCCATCATAAAATTAACTCGGCAAGTTATTGACCAATACAATCCATAATTCACAAAATACCGGAGATTTCAGGATACATAGTTTAATAAGACGTAATACATGCAGCTCCAGAAGGGCAAAATAACACAACACAACCACAGCGGGCCTTGTAAAAGTACAAAGATGATTCAGGCAAAACCTTAGAGCCCTAGTCCAACTGTACGGCCATCTCTTCGGCGAAGTCCAGCAGTATATTGCTTCTCCAAATCCATCTGGAGCTCCCTTTGCTTCTCTGCGTCGTGGATGACTGGTTTGTTCTCTGTCTTCACGTCGCCTTTCACACCCTACAATTGGCCATATGTACCAAGGCAACCTCAGACTCTAAAAAGTGTGTTAGTACATATGAAGAGATTTTGCTGAGGGGACAAGTTATTAAGACTAAATACTGAGGGAGGCTATTACTTCTGACAATCTAAAGCAAAATAAAAGGAACAGAAATTACCATGAGTTTCTTGAATTTTTCTTGTCGCTCGCGATCACCAAATAGTGATGTATCCCAACGATGAGTGGACTACATATTCGACCATCAATTGAACATACAAAGACCAAGAGAGTGAATAACATTGAGCATAGGATAGAGAGATTTAACAAGCTAGCAATAAACATCTATTGATGCAGCAGTCAAAATCAAGTTGCTCCGATTCTTTAAAGCATGAGCAACCTAATAATCAGGCTGATGTCAGCAAAAGCGATCAAATGAGACTTAAGATATGCATCACCTTGAAATGGAACTAATTTATCTCATACTGTTTCCCCGTTAGACGACCAAGGAATAACAAGTTTTACGGAGAGGTGAAGGTGCTATAGGTGGACATGCGGAGTAATAATAGGGGAATAACTTGCCAGACCTGCAGGAACACAGGAGGAGGAGAGGACGGACAGACAGTAAATTTACCTCTTCAGTATCAGTGGTGGTTTTCTTGTTTCCCCACAGCAGCTTCTTCTTTTGGTCAGCAGTCATGATACCCGTTCCAATAAGGTTTCTATTAACTGTGATTCGTTGCGAAGATTAAATCAAATAAGAGAACATGGTTAGCAGAGCGAACTATGAGATATTAATTGCAAAAAAAAAAGAACTTTATAATAGTGCTCGAATAAAGCAGATATAGTCAAACAACCATCACCATAGACAACTAAAAGGGCAGCCCGGTGCACTAAGCTCCCGCTATACGCGGGGTCCGGGGAAGGGCCGGACTACAAGGGTCTATCGTGCGCAACCTATCACCATAGATAACTAAGGAAACATATACATACATACATACATACATACATATACATACATATATGTATATAATCAAACATCTTTATTACAACAGCACCGTTTGTTCTGATATTTTTTGGCTTTTATAGTGAATGGTGTTATACTTCTATAACAACCATGAAGCAGAAATGGACGTGAAGCTAGATATAAAAGTCATCCCCACGAGAGATAATTTCAAATATCTTGGGTCTGTGATACAGGATAACAAGGAGATCGACGAGGATATCGCACACCGTATTGGAGCGGGATGGATGAAATGGAGGCTCACTTTTAGTGTTGTGTGACAAGAATGTGTCATCTAGACTTAAGGGCAAGTTTGATAAAGCGGTAGTTAGACCGACCATGTTGTATGGAGCCGAGTGTTGGCCAGTCAAAAAATATCATGTCCGAAAGTTGAAAGTAGCGGAAATGAGGATGTTGAGATAGATGTGTGGGCATACCAGGAGAGATAAGATTAGGAACGAGTATATTAGGTACAAGGTGGGTGTGGCTCCTATAGAAGATAAGTTGCGGGAATCGAGGCTGAGATGGTTCGAACATGTGAAGAGGAGAGACCCTGATGCCCCGATTAGGATGTGTGAGAGGTTGATCATGGCGGGTCAGAGGAAGGGTAGTGGGAGGCCTAAGAAGTACTGGGTGAAGTGATTAGGCAAGATATGACTTTTATAGTGAATGATTGTTATATGAGGATGTTGTTATAGAGAAGTTTGATTGTGTACCATGGAGCCTTGCACATGCCCCATGACCCCTTGGTCGCGTCCCACGGAGCCTGGCCAAAGCCTCGAGCACCTAGTGCCATGGACGACCCCACAGTCTTGGCCGATTCAAAGTGACAAGTGTATATGTGCCTATGTCACCCCCACTACTAGCTTGTGCCCACATTCGTCAGCCCGCAATGCCCACAACGTCAGTCAGCAGGCAACTTCCTCAACATCTGCCCGCAGTCGGTGCCAACAAGCAAATGCCCATCGAGAGAATAACCAAAAGTTTGAATTATGAATAATGTTGGAATAAGGGGCTTTAGAATAAGTAGAAAACATACAAAATATATGCATCGCACGTTTTGCTCCCATAAGAAGAATGAAACTAAAGTGAAGGAATTAGCGGGGATTCTAACGATTCTAGGAGAACGACATGACAGATGAAAATCAAACACATAGAACTAAAATAAGATGGATGGAGGAGAGTTGCAGTAATGCAATGGATCTGAAGATACCTACCAAAATGAAACAAAAATCTATAGAACTGTTGTATGACCAACAATATTATAAGGAGCAAATATTGGATTTAGTACATATTCGTAAAATGAATACCATAGAAAAGCGGATGTTAAGATGAATGTGCGATCATACACAATAAGATAAGATCAGGAATGATCTTATATGGCAGATTGCATAAATAACACATAGAGGTAACCTAAATCACATGGAGAGAAATCACCTCAAACAACCTGCAATTTCTTTGGAATCCTTATATATTTAGTGAAAGAACAGAACATAAATGAGACGAAGGATTCATATAAGTGATACAAGCTAATTGGAATTAAGGTTTATACCCTATTGCTACACTTACACTAGATTCATTAATTCCCAAAGGTCCCTTCAATTAGTTAGAGATTAAATGTGGGGTTGGTTGGTTTGGGGGAGGGAGACTAACCAAGTTGAAGGAACGGTAAGAAAATTCACGGGTTCTTACACTTGAGAGATGATGGTATTTTGGACATATTGTAAGAGTTGTTTTTGGAGGAAAACTAAGCCAGTACAGGTTAAGTGTGTTTCAGATTTCTATAACCACAAGGCAGCTTTTAGCCTGTTTCACAGTACATGGAGATCAACCGAGGAGCAAGAATCATATAGATACAATGTAATACACCCTAAAATGTTCTCAAGTCCCATCTAATTTAAAGAGCTTATAAAAAAATCTTATCCAAAACAAAACCAAAACACTTTGGTTAAAGAACAATTTCGACTTCTAGAAATCAGTTCAAAGTGTTGCCTGAAAACCAAAACAATCTAAAGGTATGTTTCTACGAAAACTCACACATATTCCAAAAACTCGTCGGCAAAACTATTCCAAACACCACTTTTTCCAAAATATATTTTTCTAAAATTGTTCTAAAGATTATTTGTTTGAAAACAAACAAAAACTAAATCCAACGCCACCTGAGATACCACTGTACACCATCAGATCCTCCTCCACAGCTCCACCCCCTTTTTCTCTTTCAAACCTAGCCAGGTTTAACAAATCAAGCAAAAAAGGAAAGTAAAATAACCAGGACTTCAATTTAATTCGCCCCCAACTGTACACATTCTTTACTCTCACCAGAACAAGGAGAGGATACTTGGGCAATACAAGAATATATAGATGCAGAACATATCCAGAAAGAAAAAGAAGAAGAAATATACCTAGTTCAGCAGCCTTCATTGCAGCAACTTTTGCAGCATCTATATCAGAGTCTTTCACGCCCTGCTCCAAGGCCAATTCACTGTTTGGACCTTGACCTTGTTTTGAACTCGAAGAAAGTTTTCCATCAACCGCGCTTGCTGGATCCATACCTGAAAAATAAAGAGTGCAATTATAACATAAATGATACTGTCCAGGAAGAAGAATAAGATGCTTAATACCATCTATTCCCTGCTCTGAACTCCGGTCCATGCCTGAGAACTTTGACTTCTTAGCTGGAGACTCTCGCCCTTTACCAAACTCAACATTTCTGTCTTCAAATTTCTCCTTTGTTTCTCTGTAGTAGCTTCTCTCCTTGTACTGATCACGGTCTTCATATTTCTTCTTTTCCTCTTTAGTGTATTTCTCACTATCCAACACCATTTCATCAAATTGTGGAGCTTCCTTCAGCCGATGCCTAGAACTGTCTTTTCTTGAATTTGACTCATTTCGGTTGCTTCTAGAGTCCTCATAAGCAGGTAAATTATCACTTTTGTGATCGCTCCTACGGTCCCCCTTCTCATCTCGGCTGTCTCTACACTCCTTATACCTATCCCTTTCCCTGTATCTACTATCGTCAATGCTAGAGTTATTATAACGCCTACCTGATCCTACTCTATCAAATGATGGATCTCTGTCTTTGAATGATGAAGTTTCTCTCTCCCGGTCCTTGCTTCTATGCCCTGAATCATCATACCTACCTCGGTAGTGTTTGTCAATGTCACGTGGGCAGACTCTTGATCTATGATCATTATCTCGCCTGGAGTTATTAGAATAATCATTCACTCTAGAGTCACGATGAGAATGAGAGGATAGCTTTGAATATCCTCTATCATCATCATCAGTATGCCTGTCATGCCTGGAATAATCCTCGTTCCTGTGGTGACTGCGAGAACTCCTAGAAGATTGTCGATCAGACTGCCTGTGAGATTCACCTATGCGACCCTGTCTACTGGAATTCCTATCTAAATCATCATCCTTATGTCGCCATTCATCCTTCCTTGATGGGATAGGACTAGAGCTCCTCTGGCGGGCAGGGCTCCCTACAATCAAAGATAGGATAGTTGAGAAGCAAAATCACATGCCAGCTTATACATATACACCTGAACGTGAATATAAATGCTGGCATAGGATATGTAAGTTATAATTCTTAAGCAATATCGCTATATCTTCTCTAGAAATAACGTATTTATTGTTAGGTCTAGAAATAAATTGTGATTAGTAGCTTTTTTGAGATATTAGTATAGAATATCAATATTTTCTCAAGGGGGAGAAAGTTTGCTACTTTTTCCTTTCTCTCCCTTCCCTGACTTTACCAAACAAGAGAATAAGTAGTAGTACAATTTCTCTTCCTTTACCTTCCATTCTGTCCTTCACAAACAAAGCATAGATCTGAAACAAAACATGAAACTACTAAACAATTAACCAATAGTCTCCCAGCTGGCTTCTGAAGAGATAAATTGTTATTTGCATGGTTTTCTCACTAACAGATTAAACATAAAGAGTACCTTAAAAAATATAAAGTAAAACATAATCACGTAGTATATATGACCTAACGTGTGAATTTTTTGAAAACCTATTTCTTTAAGGTGAGGATTCCAAATGACAATTACAAAGTAGAAAGAATTGGATCGAATTTGATATTGATTCTTTTTTTTCATTTCGGTCGTGTTTTTTTTTAGTATTATCATTACCATGATAAAGAATAAGTAACAGCAATGAACGATATATTTGTAGGAAAGAAGCTTAAAGATAGTTATATCATGTTAGGGCTGACAAGCGGGGGGGGGGGGGGGGG